GGGACAGGGTGTGGAGGCAGGGAAGATCCAGCCTTCTTCAGGTCATTGAGGGCCCTTGGCCAGCCCTGGATGGGGATTCCCCCCTCCTTTTCCCCGGGGAACCACCCTGGAGGATACGAAAGGAGGCAGAGAGAGAGGGGAACCAGAGGGATGTCCCCAGCCTGCGCCAGCCCCCCCCCCACCGTCCCCCCCGCAGCCGCCTTCAGCTGGGGAGTGGAGCTTACACTCTACAGAAAGAGGATTGGACTTAATTGCTTTGCTGATGGAAAAGCTACATTTCAGTATTGATCTCAGCTTCTGCAGCCCTTAGAGGATGCCCAGTGATTGCTGTAATGGAGAGGGAAGGGGAGAGGGGAACCAGCTGCCTGGGGACAGGGCTGGAACTTTCTCTATCCTCATCGCCCTCCCTGGGGCCCACCTGCTCTGGAGGAGCCAGAGACCAGGGTTCTAGTCCTGGATCTGCCTCCTGCGAGCCTCAATTTTCCCAGTCGGGAACTGGGGCATGGGGATAGGTGGAAGTGGTGGTGATGAGTCAAGGTGTGGAGAACAGGATAGCATGGGGTTTTAAAGCTCAGCCTTGGTTTCTGACTGCCTGGGTACACAGTGTGGCTCTACTGTTCACCACAGTGTGACTTTGGGCCAGGTACTTAACCTCTCTGAACCTCTGTTGCCTCCTCTGTAAAGCCAGCATGGTGATAGTACTGCTTTCAGAGGACTGGTGGGAGGACTTGAGATGTGTTTAAAGTGCTCTGCATAACACCTGGCACATAGTAAATATTCTACATTTGCTCCTGGCTCCCCCCTCCCATTTTTTTTCCATTTTGTTGTTTTAAATTAAGGTATTAACTACCAAGTTGTGAGAAAAGCACCAAAAAGGGAATTGAGAAATACATAAAAACAGTGATGCCCACAGCCCAGGGAGGTGTGGAGGTGATCGCGGTCAACAGCCTGAGTCAGAGACCACAGGTGCAGATTCTGAACTGGGCCTTTCTCCCAGATGGGCGGGGAAGTCCAGGGAATTTGGCCATAAGTCCTGGAAAGCAGGTGTCCTGAGTCCTCTCAAGGGAGGCAGCTTCTGCAAATCAATACAGCCCTTCTCCCATAGAGAATACCCACTCCTTTAGAAAGGTTCATTCATTCATTCCTTTGTTTTTTTTAACTTTATTCTTATGTTTACAGAGTCAATATGGGTTGAAGGGGTCATTTAAATGTCCCAGTTATATTCATACTATATTACACGGAAGAAATGATAAGTATATATCTTTTTTTAAATGGAGTTATTTGGAATTGAACCCAGGATCTTGTGCATGTTAAACACACACTCTACCAATGAGCTGCACCCTCCCTACCATTCAGTTATCTCTTGAGCACCTCCTATAGGCCAGGCCTTTGGGTAGATGCCAGGGGGACAATGGAGACCAAGTCCTTGCCCTCAAGAATAGCAATATCCATGAGACAGAGTGGGACTTGCCATCCAGGGACCCTGAGAGTAGGGAGGAGCCCCTGCTAGCCTGGCAGTCAGGGCAGGCTGCCAGGAGAAGGCGCCATTGAAGGATGGGTTGGAGAGAGTGATGGCTGGTGAAGGACAGATGGTTGGCTAAGAAGGAGTATTGCAAGCCCAGAGAACCACACGTGAGAAGCCCCAGAGTGGGCTGAGCAGGGGGTGCCGGGAGAGGTGAAATTCAGCAGTTCAGTCCGGCTGGAGTGTAGTCTGAGGGGCAGGGCTGGAGCAGGGGAGCAGAAGCCTGATCGGCGGTGGGGGCGTTCCAAGCTGCACGGAGCTTGGCTCTTACACAGGCAGGGGATGCCCCTTACTTGAGAGCCCAGGAAACTGAGGCCCAGAGAGGGGAAGGGATCTGTGAATCACTGCAGCCCCGGGCTCTCTCTCTCCGGCTGCTTCCCGCTGCCTTCCTGGAGGACCCAGAGGCTCCGCCCCAAAGGCGAGCTCTTCCAGGGGCGGGCTGCCCTGGGAGGTGGAGGTCATCCGAGGCCGTGAGGGGGGAGAGGTGGGGTGGGTGCAGGTGCCTCCCTCACCTGGGCTCACTGGGCACCTGTGTTTCAGACCACCAGAAGCTGGAGCGTGAAGCGCGCATCTGCCGGCTCCTGAAGCACCCCAACATCGGTGAGTGTGGGGGAGGGGCGGGGGCTGCGGGTGGGGGGGGGCGGCCGCCTCTCCTGCCCAACCTGCTGGGTGGGTGTTGGGGCAGCTGCTCTCTTTTCCAAGGACGGCGGCAATAGTGGTGGGAAAGGGGGGTGTCGCTAATGGTTTCCATTCTCCTCAGCGAGCAGCTTGGTTGGGGGGAAGGTGAAGAAGGGGCCCTTCCTCTCAGCCCACACTGCCGGCAGCCTCCTTCAGAAAAGCTGTTTCAGGAAAAGTCCCGAAGCTCTGCGAGAGACGAAAATAGGCCCAGCTTGGCCTTGACCAGCGCAGCCCACTCCCCAAACCCACCCCCACGCTGAGTCAGCGCGGCGCCGCCGCCCTGCCCCCTGCCTAGTGCTAGGCAAGCCCCAGGGCGGCCCCTGCCCCGGGGTGGACTAGGCCAGGCTGCGTGGGGAGGCTGAGCCCAGGGCCGGCGGGGATGGCACTGAAACAGCCCATCACTGCCTGACCTCCCCTCCCCCATCCCTGCACAACTGGAGGGCTGCATCCCCGCCTGTCGGGGTTCTGAGTCATGGTGGGGAAGGAGTGCAGATTCTAGATATAGTTATGTCAGGGAATGGCTATGTGACCTTGCGTAGGAGCACTACCCTCTCTGAGCCACTTTGCCCTATCCTTATAAGGAGAGGGCTGTCTGGACCAGCTGGGCATCTTGTTAAACAGTAGATTCTAGTTGAGTGGGTTGGTCTGGATGGGACCTGAGGTTTTACATTCCTAACACTCTCCAAGCTGATGCCAAGGCTGCTGACTCACCACCCACACTTGAGGAGCAAGGTCTAGGTGCTCTGTAAGGAATATTCCTACTCTGACAGCCACCAAGTCTTTTCCTTTGGGAGGGAAGCATCTCTCCGTATCCAGGGCCCCAAGGGTTAACTCTCCTGCTGAAGAAAAGCATCTTCATCTGCTATTTATACCCAGAAGGCACCTCCCCTTCCCTGTGCCTGGGAAGGGGAGCAGAGCTGCACACACAGCAGCCAGAGGCTCCAGAGCCAGAATCAGAGAAGGGGCAGCAAGGTGGCTGGCGGGGAGCAACCCTGGTTGGACCCTGGCCCCTGATCTGCTTATGGCCATGGGTGGCTTCTACCCTCCCTGGACCTCCACCTCCCCTTGACCAGTGCAAATGGTCAGCATAAATGGAGGGTTTGTGAGTGGTCTCTGACTATAAAATCCCATGGTTTTTACAAATGCCATCATTCCTGGAGGAAGGAGGTGGGGACAGCATATGTGTGTGTGTGTGTGTGTGTTGCTCCACAATTGCAGCTGTCTCAGGTCAATGCTGCCTTCTCCCATTTGTGCCTCCTTCTCCAGTTATAATGGGGAGCAGTAAGTTATGGGATCTGGGGCTGGGAGACTTCAGCTTAAATCCTAGGTTTGCTGCTTACTTGCTGTGTGACCTGGGACGTATTGCGTAACCACTCTGAAGCTCAATTTTCTCATTGGAAAAGTGGAAATGATATATACCTTGTAGGATTGTGATGATTAAATAAAGCGTAGCACCATGACGTCCCAAAGTAAGGGCTTCATTATCATTAAGCTGCCCCCTTTTCTCTCAGTCTATACCCTCCCACAGAACAACCTTACCTGAAGACTTATCCTCTTTCCTGAATCTTCATATAATTCTCATTCCTTTGAGCCATCTGGATTTTGGGTCATCAGTTTGGAGCATTATATATAATATGGCGGTTAAGAGAATGGAGTTTGCAGTCAGACACACCAGCTGTGCCTTTTATTAGGTGTTTGAGCTTTGACAGGCTGTGATGCTCTCAGACTCAGTATCCTCCTCTCTGCAATGAAGAATATCATGGTACCCATTTTCTAGAACTTTTGGGAGGGTTAAATGAGATATTGCAAGTAAAGCACTTGACACAAGCCTGGCAAGTAGCAAAACCTCAGAAGCAGCAGCCATCATCTTCATCATCACTGAGTCATTTGCTCCATTTGTTCATCCACTTTAGGTCAAGGGCATCTGAGGCCCCACCATGTGCCAAGGCCTCTGCTAGTCACTGAGGATGTGCGGAAGAAATGAGGAGGGGGATGGGGCAGAGTGGCTGATGCGCAGGGAACTGGGGAGCAGAGCTGAGATACAGAACAGAAGGTGCTTAGAAGATCCTGAAGCTATTGTCAGGGCTGAAAGGGTCCTCAGAGGATACTGCTTCCTGAGCCTCCAAGCATCTCACTTCAAAGTAGATTGCAATCTGCCCCAAGTTCAAAGAGGTACAGATGTGGATGCAGAACCTGGGGGCTGAGACTGTGCCTAGAGAAACCAGACTGAGTCCTGTTCAGCCTGCTTGGCAAGTCCAGCCAAGGGTACTGGCGGCTGCCTTTGTGGGGTCACGTCCCAGCCCCAAAGCGACCAGGTCAGGGAGGTCCCTGGCTTAGCGCAGGTGGGTCCAACTGTGCGATGCACGAGCATTTACCTCCTGGATCCTGCTTGGGGGAGGATAGTACCCTGCTCTCTGCACCCTCAGCACGTTGCTGAGGTAGACTCCCCAAAGGCCACCCTGGGGAGAAGGAGACAACCTGCCGGTTTAGCAGGTGATTTAGGTTGGGCAGGAGAAGTGAGGGTGGTTGGTGATGAAGATAATGATGTCTTCGTGTATTAAGTTCCTCCTAGTGCCAGGCCCTGTGCTGGGGGCTTTACGAGCATCACTGCGTTAATCCCCCACAGCAGTCCAGTGGTATTAGCACTGCCACTAGGAGACGAGGCTCAGAGAGGTTACATAATTTGCCCGAAGTTACATAGCTTTTACGAGGTGGAAGCTCTGGAAGACAAAGCCAGTGAGTCTGACTGCTGAGCCCGTGTTCTGAGCCATCCTGTGGACATCAGGAGTGTGTTGTCAGCAGGGCGGCAGCCAGGGGAACAAGGATGACCCTTCAGTTGCTGAGAGAAAAATGGTAACCGTTGGAAATATGACAGGGATGTCAGAAATTCATGAATCCCACTACATAAATGAAAAGTAGGTTACAGATTGGTTTGTTCTGTGACAATATTTTAAAACGTCAAAAAGTGACAGTGTGAGTCAATGAGCACAGGCACGCCAATCTCTCCACCATTAGAGGGGACTGTTACATAGACCGTGGCCCTTGCACCTCTTGGATTCAGGGTTGAGTGTTTCTTCAGGGCAGCCTCCATCCATGGGAGGGGATGATTTGTGCACCCAAAGGAGGATTCCTGTCTCTGGGGCTCGGATCTGTGATTCGACCACCTCTCAGGGATTGAAGCCAACTCCAGTCAGCAGGTGGGGCTGGAATCCAACCCATATCCCCCTCAACTGGCTGCTTAGAGGGCCAGCCTTTTACAATCAGCACAAAGGTACCATCTGAGCTAGAGTGAGCTCTGGAGACGGCCCCCCATCCTCACGCCCCACGCCAATTCTGTCCATTTCTTTGGGCCCTAAGGACCTTGTCTAAAAGGTGCTGAGGCTCCTGGACAGAGGGTGGCTCTGGGTCCCCAGTCTTCTTGGAGCTTCTCCCTAGAGGCTGTTGACTCAGTTCTAAAAGCCCTCTCTGAGATGGTTCTGGATGTAGCCTGGCTTCTCACAGCTTCTCACACTCAGGAAAGAGGAGTTGAAAACACACACCTGAGCAGGGTAGACAGGCCGGAGTCTGCTCCCTGAGAATCCTCTTGGAGGAAAGGGTCTTTTTCAAAACTTGACGTTGGTACACTATTAATACAAGCTTATGGTAGATAAATGAGAAGACAGATACTCTTTAAAGCATCTCCTGTGACCTGAGCATCCAGAGCTGACACTGATGCTGTATGCTTCTGTGTGATATTTGATGTCTGTGCCTTCTCAAGTATATTATCTCAGGTCAGGTTTCCTAGAAGCAGAGCCCGAGGCAGGGAATCAGGTGCTTGTGATTTACTGAAGGTGTGCTCCCAGCGGAGGCCTGTCAGGGGTGGGGTGGAGCAGGATGGAGGAAGAGTAGAAACAGAGCAGAGATGAGACCTCAGGTCAAATCTAACTCTGACCTGATCCCCAGGTGGAGGGTGCAGTGGCGAGGCCTCTGGAACATAAAGCCCATCTTGCCTCCCCCTTAAGGCAACGAGATGGGCCTTTTTCGCAGACTCTGCCTCCCCACGTTAGTCAGTCATCCGCTGAAAGCTGCAGGTAACCTTGCGGGCCAGGTGGCTCCATCAGCCGTGGACAGTTCTCCAAAGAAGGGGGGCAACTGTGAGCTGATAGCCAGCCCCCTAGCAGCTGCAGGATGGCTGCACCATCTCACTAACGGGGGTCTGGGCAGGGCACCAGATTCTGCATGCAGAAAATACAGGCTGCCTATTTAAAAACACATAGATATTTTTTAAAAAATCAAGCCTACCTTTGCTTTTAAATGAATTGAAAAATTGAAATAGATGAAAGGATAGAGGAATAGATAGAAACGTAGTAGAGCAAGTATAAGAAAACATTAATGATAGACTCGAGGTGGTGGATGTGTGGGTGTTCACTTGACTGTATGTTTGAAATTTTTTATAATAAAACGTTGATAAAAAATCAAAGCAGGATTATGTTATATGTGCTTACTCTTAGGCTACTGCATTTTAGTGTTGCTTTGAAATAGTTGAAAAATATATTTCAGTTACTACTTATATGTATCATTCACTATTTTAAAAACATTTTTATTTAAATTTGCATCCCCTTCATCCTCCTTCTCTGGTCTCCATTTCCCCTGCCTTGTCGGCACCCACTGGGATATTTGATGCCTGCTTCTCCAAATGTTCTGTGCAGATACGAGAGCCATAAGCTATTTAGGGGACTTGATATTGAGTCAGAAATAATGCAAGAATTCAGATGGCACTAGGATTTACAGTGAAAAGTCTCACCAACCCGTGACCCCAGCTGTCCCAATTCCCCTCCCCAAGGCACCCTCAATGCTCACATCTCTGTATCCTTGCAGAGAGATTTATGCCATACACAAGCTTAAATCCATCCTTTTTAAAAACGACTCTGCATACTGTTTTGCACTTTGCTTTTTCACCAAACAGCATAATTTAGAGATGATTCCAAACCAGTGGATACGTAACTGCTGCATTATTTTAACAGCTGTGTAATTTTCCATTGTGCGATGCACCATAATTCTTCAGGCCCACACGCTGCCCCCTCCCCTCCGTGGACATTTTTAGGTTGTGGTGCAGGGAAGGACATGAATTTGTCCTGGGAGGATTTGCCCTTGGCTGGCATGGTGAGGGTCCCCCCCAACCCAGAGTCAGCCCCAGGCCTTGGGCCCTTTTTTCCAGAAGCTCAGGGGGTAATTTTGGAAGCTCTGGGCTCCTGGGAGCTTGCCTCTGTTCTTGGTAAATGAAGTATGAAGAGATGACAGTTTCTCAGCACGCCAGAAACTCAGGGACTGCTGTCACTCTTTCATCCTCCAGCTCCATTACTTCCTCAGACCTGGACACAGAGCAGGGGCATTAGCTCTGGGCCAGCACCAAGCGAGCGCCGATGTGTGCCTCGTGGCATTTTCCCAGCAAGCCTGCCGTTCCAGGAGTTTCATTCTGGTTGTCAAGGCAAGGAAAGAAAGGCTCAGAAAGGTGTAGCAACTTGCCCAAAGTCACACAGCTAGCGAGTGGCAGAGATCTGAGCCATGGTCTCTTTCCATGACGCTGACCAGCCCAGCAGGGAAACTGAGGGTTGGATGGGGAAGGGGATCAAACTTTGACCAAAGCAGTGGTCTTAGTCTTGAACCCGAGGAATCTTTCAGGAATGCCTGAGGTCAGTGAGCCCTGTACATCTGTCAAAGCACCTGAAAACTGTCTTGTACTCAATGACTGTCTGAGAAATTGGGATGTTGGCTATTCAAGGGGTAAGAGGGAGGCCAGGGGTGCAGAGCGCTGTGTCCTATGTAACCGACTGCCTCGGCCCCTCCTGCAGTCCGGCTCCATGACAGCATCTCTGAGGAGGGACACCACTACCTGATCTTCGACCTGTGAGTCTGGCCCCACCCTGGGATGTATACAAAGTTTCCCACAACATGGTAGGCCTGCCACCCGAGCAGTGCAGGCTGGTTTTCCTGACACACCAACAAACACTTTTAACTTTCATCCTCATATATTTAGTTTTGTTTCTATTTGTGGCCAGTGATGCTGGTTTTCCATTTCTGGTGAGGATATAAAGTTGCCTTTTGGGATTAATTTAAAGTTTTTAAAGCCCAGTCAATGGAATGAAAAACAATCATGAACTGATAGACCTTGGTGGTTCCTGGTCTCACCTGTAAATAAAACAGTTATTTGAGATGATGGGTGAGATTATGAGGAGGGGTGGGGGCAGCAGGGATACAGGAAATCTCTGTACCTTCTGCTTAATTTTGATGTGAACCTAAAACTACTCTAAAAAATAGTCTATTAAAAAGACAAGCTCCAGCCCTTGGGTTCCTAGGAGCCTAATGAATCTTAGTGATGTATTCTGAGTACCCCATCCCCGGTCTTAACTCCAGCCTGCCCCTGGCTGGGGAGAAGTGCTGAGGGTGGAGGGGAGGAGGTCAGTCAGAGGGTGGACTGGAAGTCAGGAAGGGAGTTGTAGCTGGAGGCACCACCCCCCTGTGTCCCCTCACTTTGGGGCTGCGATTCTGAGTTTACTGACCCCATCCTTAGCTCCCTGGAGACTGTTCCAGAAGAGGTGGCACCTGGGGCCTTTGTGGGAGGGTGACTCTGTGCCTGTCTTCGTAGGGTCACAGGAGGTGAGCTGTTTGAAGACATCGTGGCCCGGGAGTATTACAGTGAGGCTGATGCCAGGTGAGTGCCAGGTGCAGCCTGGTAGTGGTGCCTGGGGGCAGGGCACTCCCTCCTGCTGGCTTCCCAGGGGAGGCCCGCCCTCTCACCCTGACCCCTGCCTCTGTCTCCCCAGTCACTGTATCCAGCAGATCCTGGAGGCCGTGCTGCACTGCCACCAGATGGGGGTGGTGCACCGGGACCTGAAGGTGAGTGGCCCGCCTGAGGGCACTGCTCCCTGGAAGCCTGTTCCTCTGCCCCCTGCCCTTCCCTCCACCTGCAGAGCCAGAGTATTATCAGAGGCATTATTAGCTTCTCCGAGTGGGGCTGGATGGGAAATATTCCCCCTACTGTTCAGATGAGGAAACTGGGTTCAGGAAGGTGAGCATCTGGGCTCAAGACCCAGGTTTGCCGAATCCCAGGCCCATGTGCTTTGTGCCAGGCCAGGTGAGATGCCGGTAGACTGCCAAGGCTGGCTCTGGTGGAATCCAGATCCCAGCTAGGCCACTTTCCATCTGCACGGCCTCAGCTTCATTACAGTGGTGGTTGCCATAGCAACCTCAGAACAGGGTCGGTGAGGATGTCAAAGGAGACAGCACAATGCCTGATACACAGATGCATTGCTAATCTTGTTTCCGGGTCTCTGGAGCAGAGTGGTGGGGTAGGAAAGCAGGCCTCCAAGCCCTCAGAGTCCTCACCTGAAGGAGACGGACCAGACTAAGCAGACGGAGAGTCTGAGCTTGGCACCAACTGCACAGCTTTGCCTGGTCAGCACACACTTCATGGTTCTCTGCTGGGCCTTGTGATGTCGGTGCCTGGTAACTGTGGAACATCACCCCCATTTTGCAGAGCAGGAAACTGGGCTCTAAAGAGTCCAAGGGATTTGCCCAAGAGCATGCAATGCAGTTCAGTTGTGCCTGAACTAGGACTGGGGACCTGGCCTTCTGACCCTGGATCACATGCCCTTGGTGGGCTGGGGCCAAAAGCCACCCAGTCCACTTCCTGCTTCTCTAGTCACCCCTTCTAGGTGACCCTGCTGGGTATTTGTCAAACTTCTTCTTTTTGGCCTTCAATGACTATGAACTCACTTTTTATGGGGTAGCCCCTTGAATTATTAGGAAATACTCCTTCAGTCTTTCCCACTGTGGGGGCTTGTCTGTGAACCCCAGTTCTACCCTGGAGTCACTTGAGTGGCTTTGCAGCAGCTCCTAAGACATCTGCGGGCTGTTCTCCATCCCCCTCCCCCCGGGAAGGGATTTCCAAGCCCTCCTCATCCTGGTGCCCTCCCTGTGCATCCTCTGGTCAGTCCAGGTCCCTTTTGGGGGTGCAGTGCTCTGACCAGACCCCCTGCCCACCTCTGACTGTCATGAGCCATTTGTGGCTTCACACCTGAGCCCAGATGAGCTCCCTGTGGTTCAGTCCAGACCCTCATACAAGTGTGCACTCAAAGAGGGTCTCTGGCCAGACAGCAGGGCGGCTCTCCCTGAGGAACCGTCCCCATTAAAACCACATCTCCTGCTCGGGAGAGGAACAGGAAGAGGCAGCACAAATTTAGGCCACTCTGGATAGATTAATTAGTGGCACATTCATCAAATCAGGGCAGGAGAGCTACTAAGACCCAGGACATGTTGGGAACACAGTCCCCAGAGGCCAAAAGAGGCCTTAACAAGGGGCAGTTGGAGCTATATTTGTTTGCATCCTGCCTAGCTTTGGGCAGTGGAAAGGTCAGATGTAGGAGCCCTTGGAAGTCCCAGTAAGGAAGGGGGTCAGAGGAAACCAGCGGTCCCCAGAGACTTGGAGCCCACACTCTCCCTCCCCAAGCGAAAAAAAAATATGTGTACTGATGCTTTTCAAGCACTTTTAGGCCACTGCAAAGTGCTTTATATGGATTATCATAATTAATCCATATGTCACTCCATGAAGCAGGCATTATCTCATTGTTTGGAGAGGAAACCAAAGCTCAGAGAGGTGCGATAATTTGCCCAAGTTCCCTAGCATAGAAGTCGCAGCGCTAGGATCAGAAGCTGAAGATTTCTTTTTCTTTTTTTAACATTTTTTATTGATTTATAATCATTTTACAATGTTGTGTCAAATTCTAGTGTTCAGAAGCTGAAGATTTCTAACTGGAAAGTTTCTACTCTTGGTACTCTCTGTCCTGAAGAGGGGGATTTCCTGTCCTCTAGACCCAGCAGAAGACAGCAGCCTTGATGCCCCACAGGCCAGGTGGCACATAGCAAGTCCCCCATCTCTCAGCCCAGAGTGGTTCAGAGCATAGCTCTGGAGCCAAAATACGCCTCGATTCTAGCTCTCTCACTTACCAGTTGTGTGGTCTCGGTCAAATCACTTAATCTCTCTGAGCTTCATTTTCTTCATCTTTATACATAAGACAAATACCCAAGTCCCTGCTGTGTGTTGCACACTGTCTTAGGAGCTGGTGATACAGTGGTGGACAGGACACATAAGAAACTCACGTTCTTAAAAAAAGAAGAAGAAGAAGAAGAAGAAAAAACATTCTACAGGGGTGACAGATAATGAACAAGCACATAGATATGTGGAAAAAATGCACTATAAATTGTGATGAGGTCTAAGACAGTAACAACAAGGACCTAAGACAGAAGATACCTTGGGGCTCCTCCTTTAGCTAGAGTAGTCATGGAGGGCTTCTTGGAGGGGGTGACATGAAAGTGAGAGCCAGATGATGAGAAGGAGCCAGATCTGTGAAGCTCAGAGGGAGAACAAGTCAGGCAGGGGGAGCAGGAAGGGCAAAGGCCCTGAGGTAGGAACAGACGTGACTGTTTGAAGGCATGTAAGAAGGCTACCCTGCAGAATGGGAATACTAATGCTTACCCCAAAGGGTTGTTGAGATGATAAATAGAATGATGTATGCAAAGCCCTTAGTCCAATGGCTGGTGCATAATAGAAGCACAATAAATGTTGTTTCCTTTTCCTCACTGTGGTGGTGGCTGTTCACCCACCATCTCAGCACCAGTCCCAGACCCCGAGGGAGGAGGGAGGAGCGGGTGGAAGGGTCTTCCTTTTGCAGGAGACAGAGAACTACAATGAGGCAGTCCTCTCTTTGGGCAGCTCAGAGCCCCATGGTTGGGGCTGGGGTGGCAGGGCAGGCAGGATGCCTCTAGATTGTTCAGCTGCTCCTCTTGTAATGTAAGCCCAGGCCCCCAGAGGTGAGGTTCTAAGTCTGCTCACTGTCTTCTGGCCCTTTCCTCTCCCCCTTCCCCTCTTCTCTCTGGTTCTGTGAAGCCGGAGAATCTGTTGCTGGCCTCCAAGCTCAAGGGTGCCGCGGTGAAGCTGGCGGACTTTGGCCTGGCCATAGAGGTGGAGGGGGAACAGCAGGCATGGTTTGGTGAGTGGAGGCAGGGGTGGCAGGGGTGTTGGGGGCCAGCCTCATATCGACCCATTGGCCTCTAGGAACCCTCTGCCCAAGTAAGGGCTGGTTGGAGGTGGCTGTTGCACCAGCCAGGGATCAGGGAGCAGAGGTCCTATCCCCCAGCCTCTAGGTCTGTGGGTGTCACCCATGCTAGCTCCCTGGGGGCCAGATGCAGGGACATGGTTGTCATTAAAACAGAACGTGGCTTCCTCACAGGTGCACACCCGGCACTGTCGGCTAGCAGCTTCCATGGGTTCCCCAACAATCTGGGTGCTAGAGATTATTATCTTGATTTGACAAATGAGGAAGAGAGGCTAAGCGACTAAGAGAAGATCAGGGGAGGTTAGAAGAGGTAGAGCCAGGATTTAAGCTTAGCTGACCCAGCCTGCTCTGAGATTCTGACATAACTGAGTTCTTTCAGCTGTCTGGGAATACTCTTTAGTGAGCAATACTGATCAGTGGTCAAGAGCCAGAGTTCTGGGTTCGAATCCCAACTCTGCTGCTTAGGAGGTCTGTGACTTTGGGTGAGTCGTTTCACCCCTGAGCCTTCATTTCATCATCTAGTAAAAAAAAGGGTAATAATAATATTATGTTCCTCGAGGTGTGTGAGAATTAAATGAGATTGAGCACAGAAAATTCTTGGCCCTGCTTAGCATACACACTCAATACACAGGACCTGTTCTCATGATTACTTGTTAAAACACTTTGAGTGTCTGTTATTTCAGCTGATTCTCCCAGTAGTGCTGGGAGGTGTTTAGGGTAGGAATCCCGAACCCTTTATTTGATGGAGGAGGAAACTGAGGCCCAGAAAGAAAAGAGACCTACCTCTAAGGGACTTAGGGCAAAGCCAGAGTTAGCGGGCCTCCCGCCATACCAGGACCAGCTCCTGGAAGGGGTGGGGAGTGGGCAAGGGTTCAGCTCAGCCTGGAGCTGACAGGCAAGGACAGTTCATCTCAAGGGCCCCGAGCAATTAATGGGTATTGGCTGCTGGGAAGGCTGTGCTAGAAGTTTGTGACTGAGTCAGGACCCTGGGGGAAGGACCTTGGGTGGACCCATGACTTCTGCCATGAGGCTCTGGAGTGGGATGGTGGCAGATACACTCTGTCTTGTCCACCCTGGTCTACCGGGTGTCGCTGGCTTGTCAGGCCAGGGCTTCTGGCCCTTGGCCGGCTCTGGGGGGCAAGGGGTGTTTTCCCCATCTCCAGGGCAACCTCATCCCTCTTCCAGCAGGATCTCGTTCCGGGTTACTTACGTGCCAACCTCTGTGTGTGTGTCTGCCTGTCTGTGTGTCTGGGGAGCAGGGTTCGCAGGGACTCCTGGATACCTCTCCCCAGAAGTGCTGCGGAAGGACCCGTACGGGAAGCCTGTGGACCTGTGGGCCTGCGGTGAGTCCATCCGAAGGCCCCTTAGCCCCCCTGGCCGCCTGCACCTCTGGTGCCCTCTCTCTCCTTGCCCATCACTCTCCTCCCCGTGCCCCCCTCACTCCTCACAGAAGGTTGAAGTTTCTCCTGGTCCCTTCCCAGGGGTCATTCTCTACATCCTACTGGTTGGCTATCCCCCATTTTGGGATGAGGACCAGCACCGCCTGTACCAGCAGATCAAAGCCGGCGCCTATGATGTGAGTGTTGCTCCTCTCTCCAGCCTTCCTGTCATCCTAGGGGCCCCTTCCAGTGAAAGCCAAGGCTCACTGACATCAGAGACCCAAGGGTATTTCCCTCCTGCCCTCCTCACCCATTTAGGCCTCCTCCCACTCTCTAGGTATGGGGTGGGGGTAAACATCAGGTGAAGCTCGAGGGCTGACCGGGGCCGGGCAGTGAGCTGGCTATGGGGCCATCTAAGTGATGGGATTTGGTCCATAGGGTCCTAGATGGTAGAAGCAGCACTAAAATGGGGCAAGAGTTTGGGTGATAGGCAGGCCCCAGGAGCCAGGTTCTCTCTTTATAGATATATACATACACACACATATTATATATTGTATATACAAATAGTAATAATAACTACCACATATTTTTACAGTTAATCCTCACACCAATCCTGACATAGGTACTGTTATTAACCCCATTGTACAGATAGGGAGGCTGAGGCACAGAGAGGTTAAATAACTGCTGAGACCACTTAGCTAAGAAATGGTAGAGCTGGGATTTGTACCCAGGCAGTCTGGCTCTAGTGTCTTTGCTTCTAACTACCAAGCTATACTGCTTTTCTGCACAGCAGATATCTCTGGAGCTATGTCATATGTTTTATATCATATTTAATCCTCACAACATCTAGGGACAGCTCAGGGGTCACATGACTTGCCCAGGAGGCAGAGTTCAGACTTGAACCCAACCTTCCAATTCTGAAGTCTGGGCTATAACCACTGGCCTGCTGCTCCCCAGATAAGGCACAGCTCAGAAGAGCAGAGAGAGGCCTCCTTTCCCCCGACCATTGTTCTGATTTGTCTTGGGGTCAGGAAATCCTATCCCCGGTCCTCCTGGTTGTGGACGCCCGAGTGGACGGGTAGCAGGACCCCTGCCTGCTCCCCTGCCAGTCAGGGGCTGGGGGATCGCAGGGGTGGCCTGGGGTAGGCTGGGCAAACCTGGCCCCTCTGCCCCTTCCAGTTTCCATCACCAGAATGGGACACCGTCACCCCAGAAGCAAAAGATCTGATCAACAAGATGCTGACCATCAACCCGTCCAAACGTATCACGGCCGCTGAGGCCCTCAAGCACCCCTGGATCTCGGTGAGCCTTCCTCAGTAAGACCCTTCACAGGAGCCCCTCCAGACTTCAGGATTAAGGCCCTCAAGGAGTCCCAGCCCTGCCCCTGGCCCCTCAGGCCCACCATGGGGTCAAGGGGGATTAATCCAACGGACACTGATCCTGCGGTGATTCTCATAGGGAAAGTGTCAGTGGGAGGTATTCTGGGTTGGCACCACGACTGGGGGTACTACTGGCACCCAACGTCCAGTGCCGGGAATGCTAAGCCCCTGCAATGTTTATAACATCCCCTAGAACAAAGACTCATTCCCCCAAAGATGCCAGCCACATTCATAGGATGCTCTGCAGGGGGGCCCTTGGGTAGGTCCCGCCTTGTACTGACAAGCCCTCTCCCAACTTCCTCCAGCACCGGTCCACCGTGGCCTCCTGCATGCACAGACAGGAGACCGTGGACTGCCTGAAGAAGTTCAACGCCAGGAGAAAACTGAAGGTAACAACAGGTCCTCACCCTCCACGCACCCCGGACGCAGGAGTAGCTTGGCCTGGGTCTCCACAGTGGCCAAGAGGTCTGCTCACTAGCTCTTCCTTCATTGAGTCAACAAGCATTTATTGAACACCAGCTGCCTGGGCTGGGCAGTGAGCGGTGGCGAGGACAGACAAGTGACCGGGACATTACGGGGCAGTGGTGAGTGCTGTGACTGCACACCCTGAGGTTGTGGGAGTGCATAGCAGGGCCACGAAGCAGGTCTCGAAGCACCAGGGGAGGATCCCAGAAGGCTTCCTGGGCAAGTGGCCTTTGAGCTAAGATCCCAGAGGATAAGCAGGTGTTAGCAGTATGGAGACAGATCGGGCAGGTGTTCCAGACACAGAGAAAAGCCTCTGCAGAAGTCTGGAAGCAGGAGCTTGACCCCTTAGGGGGACTGCAAGTGTTTCAACATGGCTGGGAGAGGTTGCAGAGGGTGATGTGTGACTGGACAGGAGGCCATGGTAAGGGTGAGAGGTCCCAGATGCCAAGTTCTGGAGAGGAATGGCTGAGGGACTTGGACAGGACTTGTGGCCCCAAGGAAGTGACCCTGATGGATCCTGAGCCTCTGGCCTCTTGGCAGCTCTGTGTATTCTCAGGGAATATAGCAGCTCTGGGCCTAGACCTTGCCAGGGGACCCCGTAAGCAGGTAGGAAGAGCAACTGAGGGATCCCCAGCTGGTTGAAACAGAGAGGCCATCAGCATGCTAAGTGACAGCTGCTGAGGCCTCCAGCTCCTTCAGAACCAACTGCTCCCAGGTCTGGCATGGTGGCTCGGGATAGGGACATGGGCCAAGGGGGTGGTAGCCAGCATGATGCCAGAACTGAGTCTAACCCTTAACCCCCAGCGGGAGCTTGCCCAGAAGTCTCAAAATGTCAGAATCAGTGATTCTTAAAATCACGGACTGGCGGGCCCAGATAGTGTCCAGATCAGACAGCGTCAGAACCAGAAGGGCTATTGGTCCCCGCCCCCATGGACAGAGGAGGCTTATTCCTCATGAACCCTCCAGGGTTCTGAGCCCAGGAGCCACAGAAGAATGAACTAGTGCTGGAGTGAGGAGCTGGGTGTCCCAGGCAGAAGATGGAGGCAGGGAGGGGCCGAGGGGTGCAGGGTCTACTGTCTTTGCTCTGGCAGGAGATTTCCTTGGTGTTTAGGAGCCACCACTGACAGGTATCCCCAAGTTCATCCACCAGGTGTGGCCAGGCTGATGGAACCTATTAATATCTGCTTCTTGGATGACCCTGCCCCTGGAACTGTGCCAGCTAAGACCTAGATCATCCTGACTTCTCCAGGGAGGCAGGGATGGTCTCTGGGCTGTGGGTGGGAGAAATGGAGGCCCGAGGCAGAAGGCTTTGGCCTTGTGTCTGAATGGAGCCCCTGCCTCCCCTTCCCCACTCCCCTCCCATTTCTGTTTCTCCTCTCCCCCCGATTTCCTGCCTCCTCTCCCCCACATCCCCTCCTCTTGTCTGTTTCAGGGAGCCATCCTCACCACTATGCTGGCCACCAGGAACTTCTCTGGTAGGTGGTAGGACCTTAGAGTCCCAAATACATCCTGCAGGAGGTGGACACGTTGCCAAATGGGCTATCTGGGTGCCCTCAGGCCAGAGGGCCTGGGGAGAGTAGGAGCTACAGAGGACCCCGTGACTAGAGGCTTAGCTCACCTGATGCAAACCTGTGGAAGTGGGTAAAGGTCAAAGGTCAGCAAGCCAAGGGCCCACCAGGAAGGGTTAGAGGTTAAGTGTGGCTTCCCCAGCTCACAGCAGTGCTGGGTTTCTCAGGCTGGGCCAGCCAGAGGGGAAGGCCTCCTGAATGCTGGTGGACAAGTCCAGGAGGGACTGAGCCAGGCCCAGGAAGTACCAGTATTCCTGTTTCCCACAGTTACTAAGCCATCCCCATGCTTTCACTCAGGTGGCCTTTATGACAAGACGGTTGCCATCCCTGTTTACTGAATGGGGAAACAGAGGCTTAGGGAGGTAGACTTGCCTCGGGTCACACTGCTAGAGGCAGGCTTTCAGTGCAGGTCTGACCCACCCCAGAGCAAGTGCCCTTACCAGGCTGGGTCACCAAGGAGTCCAGGGTAGAAGCCTTTGGCCTTGGCCAAAGCCAGGCTGGTTAAGGCAGGGAGTGCCCAATGACTGGCGGCATGTGGACCCGAAGACAGAAGGGAAAGGGATTAGTGTCAGGGCTTAGCAAGAAGCTCCCCTTGGCACGCTGGGGAGGGCTGCGGCCAGCGCCCGCCAGAGGCTTCTCTCTGGGGAGCCCGGGATGGCTGACGGGGCAACTGAGCAGATACAGCAAAGCTCACCTGAGGGGCCCTCGGTCTAGGGCTGGGGCTGGGGCCAGCCAGAGAGGGCTGCTGTGCACACATGGCTGCTCCCACCACAAGCGGTTGGCTCTGGGAAGCTACACCGCTGGCTTTGCTGAAGGAGGGTCCACCTGCCCATTTAACCAGCCAGGAGGATGAGACCTGGCGGTGGGATGGGGTAAGACCCTGGAACTTCAGATGTGGGCTTTCCCCAGCACACTGAACTGCTTTCCAACTCTCTTCCAGCCCAGACAAGGATCCTGTAGTTCCTTAAACTGAAAGATGAGCCACCCAGGCAGTCAGAGTCTTTTTTTAACAACTGAAGTGCCCTTAGGGAACTCTAGTCCAGAGCTCACAAAATGGGGGAGGGCATGGCTTAGTTCTCCTCTCTTGATGTTCTTGGGGGGGGGGGCAATGATGTTTAAAAAAATTTTTTTTTCTTAGAGTTTCCAGCACTTAAAACCCAGGAGATTTCATAGAAAATCCCAGATTTCTGACTTCTCTCAAAAATCACGATATGTGACCTCACTTGACCCAGAGTCCTGGAGTAGTGGGCTGGAGCTGAGAGGGTCCCCCTTTGAGGCTTGAGGGGAGCCCACAAAGCCCATGGAGGATGGGCATCTGTTTCTTTCTTTCAGCTTTGGGATCCAGGGGTACTCAACCCACCCCCCTTACTTTGCAAGAGGGAATTTTTCCATCAGAGCCTGAGAGGGTCATAGGTACCAATGTGAGGATGACTGGGGAGCTGGACCAGCCATGAGCCCCATCCCTCCAAGCCTCTGGGTTGTTGGTGTCCTGTACCTCCCCTCCCCTCCCTCGCAGCTCGCCCTCTCTGGGCCACCAGGAGAAGGACTTTGAGTGGCTGTCATTTACCAAACATCTACTACATACACGTCAAGTGCTGTGCTGAGCACCTTCTAGATACTGTCTCCTTTAACTTAAGGCCGTTTGCTTGAGGTTTGAAGCAGTCGGATGTCAGGCTGCACAGAGCTGGGCATTTATGCCATTTCCTGGCCGGTGCCCTCTCCAAGGGCTCTGGCCAGGAGGTGAGAAGGGAGGGAAAGGGGAATGACAGCTGGGGCCTCCCTGAGAGTCATTGCTTTGCTTTTCCCAGACACCCAGGACACAGCCAGCCCCAGCATGGGGCTCTGGGGTTTGAGGGTGGGGAGGCCTCTGCCAGGGATGGGTGCTCTGGCAGGGATGGCCCAGAGGAGTGGGCATCTGCTTCTTGTCACAGGCAAAACACAGCTCGCAGCTGTCCAGAGTAGGCAGGGCTGACACATGACCTCCGCAGCAGCATGGGGCTAAAATTAGAGCAGGCTGGGGTGGGGAGGGAGCGTCCAGCTCCGGGCTGGGCAGCCAGGCCTCTGGGTTGGCCACCACCAGCACGGGTGGTGACCGGGATCTAGAGGGAATCCCCGGACTAAAACAGCAACCACACGGTCCTGGGACACATTGGGCACCTCTCTCAACCCATGGGGCCAGAGGGTCACACTTGAGATTGCTGAGAACTGGGGGGAGCCCAGGCCCAGCCAGTGGGCCACCGGCAGCCCCGGGGCCGCCCAGGAAGGAAGAGGAGCACGGGGAGGAGGTCTCCCCCAGATCGCTGCTCTGCTCTGTGCCCGCCAGCTGCCCGTGGATGCTGCTCTTCCTCGCCCTGTGGGCCCTGGTGCCCTGCCTGGTGTTGGTAACCCTCTACTTTTTCTCCTCCGCAGGGGGGAAGAGTGGAGGAAACAAGAAGAACGATGGTGTGAAGGTAAGCCCCTGGGGGCCTGGCACGGCCAGCCTCCGGCAGCGTCCCAGCCAGCACGGCCCGGCTTGCAGGGCGGGGGCGAGAGCCAGGCCTCGCTAACAGTGTTCTGGGCGGATGTGCTCGCCCAGGCAGCCTGGCGTCCCCAGACCCAGAGATCTGGGCTTCGGTGCCCACCCTCCTGCCACAATTGGTGGGCGGGGTGCAGGTGGGGGAAGGGAGGGTTGGTTAGAAGAAGGTGGGAGAGGCAGGTGGCCTGGGTGAGGGTGGGCATTAGGGCGGATCAAAGGAGATTTCTGTGGTGTTCCCGGACTGGGGGACTGGTGAGCGAAAGGGTGCAAGGAAGGGACAGAGATGTCATGAGGGGCGACCTCCTTCCTGAACGTGGGCTGGCTGGAACGGGCCCCTGACCCAGTGCGTGCCCCAGTCCAACCTACAAAGCCTGTGGGGGATGGACAGCCATTCCTCTCAGCTTTGGGATCCAGATGTACCCACCCCATCAAGGCCTGCTGGTTCAGTGCCAAGAATCCCCTCCTCCCCCGACCCAGGCCTACCCTGTCCCCATCCCTGATGCCCGAGCTACTTCCCTCTATACCCTGCTGACCCGTCTCTCCCTCCTCTCTCTTCTCCCTCTGCTCTCTGGGGCCTGGTCCCCTGCTCTCTGCAGCCCCTTCCTCCGCTGCCACTGGCTCGCCTTGTGGGTTCTCCTCTTTTGAGACCCTGCCTTTTTCTGGGCTCAGAGTCCTGCCTGGCCAGGGCCCCAGGGCTGGGCTGTGCCCAGGAGACTAGAAGAGATGAGATGCTGTCCAAACACAGCCACCGAGGTGGGCTGATGGCTTCTGGCTTGATCTGTAGTGGCATTTACAGTCTCAGGCCCCTGGCTTCAGTCTGTCAGGGGTTGCATGGGAGAGGATCTGGGTGTCGCTTGCGGCCAGGATACGGGCCTCCCCTCTGCTTTCAGTCCCCTGGCGGCTTGAGTTACCCCATAGGTGCACTGGGTGAGGCAGGAAGGGTGTGAACTTGATGATTTCCAAGATTTCAGCTTTAAAAACAAAGAAGAAAAAAAAGCAATCAAAAGACGCACCCTTCTTATCTTGGGTGCTTGAGGAATATGTCATTATTTGGTTATCAGCCAAAGCCAGTGGTTTTCAAACAGAACTCCTTGGAGTCCAGAAGTTCTGGGGAGGCACCTCTGGCAGCAGGTGGCGAGGGATTGGAAGAGGAGAGGCTGAGCAGGGAGGGGTTTAGGCTGCTTTCAGCCAGAGTAGCCGTGGACCAGCCATTGCCACGGCTGAGAGAGCCTGGGTGGGTGTACCGTCGTTATTTGAATCCCCCGAGCCTATTTCCTCATTCAAGCAATGGAGGGAAAGGATCTCCCACCTCCCAGGGCTGTTTGTGAAGATGAAGCAAGATGCTGCACACTGGGGACTTAACATGGGACTGGCGTGTAACTCGTGCTCATTGGATGCTCATCGGTAGTGGTACCTTTCCTGCTTTATGTGCTGGACTTGCGAGTAAAGATTTCTCTTGAAAACAAAGGTTGCTAAAGAAAATGTTTGGAAACCAGAGATCTGAAGCCAGCCCAATTTATAAAGTTAAAATGCATCCATCCCAAATGCTGTAACAGAATCCAGAATTGAGTTTCGGCTTACCTGCTGTTTTAGGTTACTCATGAGTCAGTCCCCCTCCCCTCCCAATTTGAAAGAGTGATGGAGGGATGTGCAAGGTTGGGGGTCTATTCTGGCCCTAGTGTGTACACACTGGAGGTACTGGGTTCTCTGGGGAAAGTCATATTTGGAGGGATATGGGGCAGAAGCCATAGGCACTGGTGGGCTGTGGTCCAGGTCGGTGGAGAAGGAGGGGCAGAGGTGGGGTGGTTGTCGTCTGTTTGGCACTTGGGTGTGCTATGGCCGGGCTGCTGGCGGTGAGGTCAGGGCCTCCCTCAGGCCAGGTCTTGGGTCAAAGCTCCAGTATGGCTCCTCTCCAGGCAAGGCCAGGAGGCAGAGGCAGTCTGAGGGCAAGGACATGTCACAGCGCGGCGGGGCTCTGGCTGGTCACTGCACCGCTGAAGAAAGTGCCGTAGCCTCCAGTGGTGCAGGACAGACCCAGAGTGACTTCTCAGAGTGGCCGGGGTGTGGAGAAAGAGATGCTCAAAGGCTATTCCTGATGTGACCCTCTCTCTGCAGTTCAGCCTCCTCCTCTTCCTTGGGATGGAGGACGGGGGACATCCAGCAGGAAGATGGGAGTAACCCCGGGGGCCTTGCCCAGGATTTGGGGAGCCTGGCCTCCAAGATGTCATTCTGGGGTTCCAATCACATTTTCACAATGATTGAAATGGGACCTCAAGTCAAGAAGCCAGGCGGTTGAGCCCGGGCCCCACAGCTCCCTCCCTTGGGGGCCTGGGCCATTGGTTCTGTCATCTCTGCAGAGGTAGAAAGAGCTGTTTGTGGGGGCTGGTGAGAGACTCCCACCAGGGTGGGCCTGGTGGAGTCACTCCTGTCACCCACACACGCTCAGCCAGAGTGGGAAATAGACATTCTTCCTACAACTTGGTTTCTAGAGACAAACCACTGTTTCCATCTGGAGCTTAGCTGAAGAAGCAGTGACTGGCCCCAGTGCTGGAGGAAAAACTGTCCTGCTGGAGTTAGAGATATGACATGATCCTGTATTTATGGGCTTTTAAGGACTTTTCAAGGCTAATTTTGACCATAATTCATTTTTATCATTCTTGCCAACCTTAGGACCACGTTTCTACACATGGCTCTAAGAGATGTGAATACTTGTGATGGCCACTTGCAAATTAAACTAACGTGCTGGTCAGTGTGGGAATATTATTAGTATCATCATCATTCTGTGATTCAGGAAAATTGAATCTTTCTAGCACCAAGAAGCAATGCCCCTGTCCCCACCACGACCACTCCTAGGCCTCTACTTCAACCAAGAGGGGCTGACTGACCCTCAGCTCCACTCACTGCCCCCTGTTGGTGTCCCATCCGTCCGTCATGACTCCTCTCCCCCATGTCCCATCCTGTCACTGTACGTCCAAATCTGATGCAGTCTCTGCTCTGTGTTCCCTCCTCGTGTCCCGCCTGGAACCTCCTGGCCCCCACGCCACTCCTCAGGTTTCTGCTGACAGCCAGGCTGTGTGGGCCTGTCCCCTCTGACACATGCTGTGCCTGGCCCAGCTCCAGCCAGGAGTGAGGCCGGCACTGGGAGGACAGGGAAGAAGAGGAGCGGAGAAGGGAGGGGAGGAGGGGCTGGCTGTAGACATCCAGCTATGAAAGTCACACTGTCCAGGCCGGCTGGGGCAGAGGCAGGGGCATTGATGCTGGAAGTGCCCAGTGAGCCACCGCAGCCACGTCTGCGGAGGCCCTGGATGGAGAGGACAGGCTCTAAGGCTCCTGGCACTCAGAGGCCCCTGGATCCTGGAGTCAGAAAGCCTAGAATTAGACCCGAGGACCCTCAGAGTATATCCAGTGCCTCCCCCAGCAAAGGCTTACCCTGAGGTCATCTCAAGTGCTTCCTCTGGTCCCACATGGAGCAGCAAGGGGAGCAGCCTCCTGGCCTCTCACATGTGGGTGCTTCCAGGGAGGGTGAGCCTTTGAAGAGCCGTCAGGCTGCAGGGACCTGGACACCTGGACAGAGGAGCGGCCTGCATCAGGGGTTCCAGCCTCTGCTTTGCTAGTAGCTGGCTGAGCAGCCTTGGGCGGATCACCCCGGTTTTCCACATGTGCAATGCAAGTGTCAGTCTTGACCTGCAACCTTCTATGAGTGCAAGTGTTTAAGACTCCTGGCTTAGAGCTGAAAGGAGAAGATAATCTACACTTTCCTCTCTCCTTCTCGCCTTCCCTTGGGTCCATAGCCAATAATACAGGGGAAGCTACAAATCCCCCCGAAGCTTGAATAGGTGGATGGCAGGGCCCAAAGACTCGAATTCTGGGCTCAGCTCTGTGTCTGCCAGGATTTCTGAGGCCTCTTAGAGAACTGGTTCCCACACCTGTCCCTGCCTTGGAATCACCTGGGGATATTGTTTAAAATAAAGATGCCCAGGCCCCAGCACAGACCTAGTTATCAGACTCCTCAAGAGGCCTGGTTATGCGTATTTTTGACAAGTTTCCTAAGTGACTATGACACTCAACCAAACCAGGACATTCATCCGTTCCTCAGAGATGCTTGGGGAGTCTAGGAGGAGACATTGGGCCTTATCTCCAGAACTGAGGGCCTTTTTGTCCAAGAGTTTTGGATTCTGGAGGCCTTAGGCATCTGGCACCCCAGACCCAAGATTTGCTTCCCGCATCAGAGCTCGGCGTAGGGGCAGCCCTGGTCCAAGAAAGGCTTGGCCTGGAGCTTGGAGGTTGGATGGTTGAGGCCCAGGCAGCTGTGCGTGAGGCCCTAGAACTCGAGGCTGAGAGAGGACTGGCCCTGCCAGGTCAGCTGCTGCTAGTGGCCCTGACTCCTTGTCCCGATGCTGTTGCCGGCAAGGGACCACCGAGGATGACCCCGAGGCCCATCCTCCTTCCAACCCCTCTTTGTCGTTTGTTCCTCTGCTCCCTGCCGTTTTCATGCTGTGTCTTTTCCTGTCCCATCTCTTCTCCTTGTTTTTCCAGAAAAGAAAGTCCAGTTCCAGCGTTCAGTTAATGGTGAGTGTCTGCCGTCTCCCAAACGCCGGTAAATCCTGGGCCTCGAACCCTCGCTCCTGCCTCCCTCCTGCAGGCTGCACTGGGAACCCGGGGCGGGGAGAGGGTGCTCAGGGCGTGCTTGGTACGTGTGCCTCGTGTGACAATATGTGTGTTGTGTGTGCGTGTTGTTGGCGTGTTTCTGTTGACACCTCCAACTCCATGGCCCAGACCAGCAGCCTGACGGTAGACCTGAGAACTCCCTGGGATGCAAAGGTTGATTTGAAGCCCATCCCACATCCAGTCCTTGGCTTCTCGCTTCTCCCCGCCCTCTGCTCTGGAACTCATCTCGGGGCTTGGTTTGTGCCAGTTGTGGCCTCTAGGGGGCTTGATTTGGCCAAAGGAGTGGGCGCCATAGGGGCCCTTCTTGAGCTTCTGCGAGGCTACCCAGGGCCCGCCGGTGGCAGAGGAGCCACCAGCCCCTGCCTCTGTCTAGGGGTTCCTGCGGTGGCATGGTGGCCCACATCCCTCTTCTTCTGACTCCATTGCTGTCTCCTCAACTGTGTGATTTTTCTCCCCCTGAAAAGCCCAGCTTCTCTCACGCTGGGCCTCCCCACTCCCCTCTCTTCTTCTCCTGCCAGTGTGTGCATTCCTTCCCCATTCTGCGGCCACCATGTGCCTCTCTGATCCTCCAGGCCCCCTCTCTGCTCCCTCAAGCAGATAGGGCCCAGGACCCTCTCCCAGCCCTTTCAGAAAGGCCAGGGCTCTCCATGCATCCATCCCTTCAGCCACTCCCCCGCCCCACTCCT